GAAAAACCACACTTTGAACCTTCAGGAGACCACTGAGAAGCTTCTTCCAAAATACATCCAGGAATGAGGTTGTTGGGGTGTTTTTCCCCTTTTCACCACCTCAACTTTCCTTATGATTTCCAGTTTGGGGGTCAAGAAGCTTGTGTCTGTCTAATAGACCATCTAAGATATGTTTTAGATGATTTTAAATGTTTTATGTTTTTAATTGTAATATTTTTTAAATGCTTTTTACCTGTGAGCTGCCTTAAGTCCCTTCCTGGAAAAGGGCGGCATACAGATGAAATGAAATGAAATGAAATGAAGTAATGCTGGAACCCAGCACCAAAAGTTTGTGTCTAGCCCTCCTTCACCATCGTCGCAGTGCCAGTGCTGCTGGCAGAGGACAAGGAGGAAAGGGGATTTGGACAGTGTAAGAAGGAGCTGCTTTGTCAGTGGCTTTGCTAACTGAGATATGCCTGTAATCCAAAACCTTCTCAAGCTCTGAGCTGGGATGCAGCCTTGCCTTTTGAAACTAGTGGGCATTGGTAAACTATGAGGACTCCCATCATTTTTATTTTAAAAAATAAGCTGCACCTAGCAAAGCACAAGGAAGAGTTGGCTCCTTCTGCTGGTTGTCCAGGGCCTTTGTTCCCTCCTTTCTTTATGTAGCATGCATTAGGCTTTTGGTCGTCATAAAAGTATTTGAGAGTATATTTTGAAATGTGCGGCCAGATGGGAGGCAATGCTCTGACAAGCCATTAATCTGGCTTTGCCTTCCCCCCTCCCCTATCCACTTTAGCTTTCCAGATCCCTTAGACGTTTTATTTTTATATATACATACACAATGCTTTTTACAGAAAATCACTGTGCTAACCTGCTTAACAACATGCATGGGTTGGATGCCTTATAAATTATGCCCTGGCTAAAAAGCTAAAAACATCATTAAACCCTGTGGAACAGCTTCAGCAATGATGATAATTTTGGCCCATGTTTCTGTTGTCAGACTCCTAGCTGATGTAATGCCCACTGGTACCTCATCATTAAAAAGCACACATGCTAGCCTTGAGTTAATATATTATGGATCTGATTGACTCCATCTTAGTCTGTTGTGAGCACAATACTCATGCTCTGGCCTAAATCCAAATTGCTGGTCCCAGCTGGAGCACATTCGTATTGATTTTGTTATTGCTGTTGTGTATCTTCAAGTCATTTCCAACTTACGGCAACCCTAAGGCAAGCCTATCATAGGGTTGCCTTGGTAAGATATGTTCAGAAGAGGTTTGCCATTAACTTCCCAGCATCTAGTGGGTTTCACGGCCAGGAATCGAACCCTGGTCTCCAGAGTCATAGTACAATACTTAAACCACAGCACCATGCTGGCTTACCATCCCATAACTTGATTCAGTGAGTTTGCTCTTCCTGGGGCTAGCTGTTGAATTTAGGCTAGGGACTGCAACTCCCAATGTTCCTCCCCATTGGCTCTGCCAGCTCAGCAAACTGGGAATGGCATTCCAACATCTGGAGGGTCATGCAATTTCCGCCAGTGATTTTATGCTCTGATTTGCAGGGTTTGGGCTGACATGGCTTTTCAACAGCATTTTACTGTTCATCCCTTCAACACCTGGCATACACATTTCTCTGAGGAAATGACCCTGTGTTTATGACCATAAGGCATCTCTCTTTTCAACATCTGCACAGTCTGGAAAGCTTGAGTTCCCAGAAGTTGAGCCCAGTGGTATCACTAGGGTTGGTATCACCCAGTCCAATAACTCATGGTGTCACCCCCACCCCATTAAACTCCTCCCATACCACACCATATAACAACATTTTTGTACTAATGTTACTCATAAATCTTACCGTAGTTCCCATATATATCACTGAATGTAATGGCAACAGTTGTGACATAATCAACTAAAATTAAAATTACACCTTAAATTGCAATAACATACACATAGCCTAAATGTGTTGACATGTACAGTACATAGTTTCATGTGGTTGTAGTGACAATTTGATAAGATGCAACTTTTAAAAAAAATGTTTTAAAAGAATACAATTTTTAATGTAAAAAAAATAAAATTACTAATTTAAAAAAAAATCTTAAGGCCTCTCCTTTCTCCTCCCACTGACCCTCATCCCACTCACCATCTTTTTCACAGGGCTCCAGCATTTTAAAGGGATGAAGGCAAACGCCATAGCGCATTTCTGCCCAAAGGCAGATGTTTGGGGAGCAGTGGTGTCACCCCTCTTACTGTTTCACCTGGTGCTCCCGCAGACCCCTAGTGATGCCCCTAGTTGAGCCTAAGTTTTCTCAGGTCTTTTCCTACTTGGACATATGAGGGAGAAGCAGAGGAGATCCTTAGAAGGGGTTATCAGCAGCTCAGAAAACTATACTTAGGGGGCAAGTATAGCTTCCTAGAATGCAAAGGCCATGCTGGCTGTGGGACTTTGAATGTTGTAGTTCAAAAGAGTAAGTTTTCAGAGTCTTGTGGTTTTCCTGTCTTTTGCCTCCAGGGAGCCCTTTTCCCATCAGAATGTCTTGTCATGAAGCTGCTATGCATTTCAAAGGATTGGGAGGGTGCGAAGATACATACAGTTTGTAGTTAGAATAGACCAGGGGCCCAAAGCCAGGAAGAAGGCAGCTGCCCCAGTCATGGGATTGCGAAGATGTGCAATAATGGCTGCTCACAAAACTGTATGTTTTTGTTTTCTTTAGTTGGTGTGATTGTGGCACGAATGGAGCTGATGTGATAATGCCCCCTGTCCCTAAGTCACTCCTCACATAGGGCTTGGTTTCCAGATCTTTTACTATCTTAGTTGCCCTCCTCTGGACACGTTCCTTCTTGTCAATTCATATTCAGATCTGCATCAAGGTTACTACAGATCAGAGGTTCTGGTAATTAGTTCAGAAAGTAGTAATCTAGTGTTGAGGTGTGAAGAACTTTTTATTGCTGATACTGCTAAACAACTGGGAAACAGATCATTGGCTTTTTGTTGCAATCCAGGCAGCAAGCCACAACTAGATCCCAAAGTCCCTTCTATCCACTTCTTTAAGAACATGCTGGCCAGCTAAGTGTCGCGCACACCACAACCACAGCACATGTTAGTGACGTTCATGGAAACTTCACCATCATTACTAGTCTCCTTGTTAAAGAGCCCTGTGATGTCTTCCCAAAAGAGTATTAAAATGAAAAACTGCAGCCTTATCCGCCAAACCATTTCTATGAGGGGTCTGCCCAGTTTTTGCATTTGCAAGCCCCATGGGCAAAATCACAGAGGTGGGCAACATACAGGTTTCAGACTCCAGCCTGCCCCCACCCCAGGATTTTTTTTAGGGCTTCCCTGCTGCAGCCACCAGTGCAACGCCAGTACCAAAGTCCAGCAGCTTAGTGAAAAATCCCTTGTCCTCCTTCCCTTTCAGAGCCTGTTTGCAGGACTCTGTGATGCAGAGATATTCTGATACCCTCTTGCTCTACAGAAGAACATGGTAGCTATTGCCAAATTTCATTGGTAATGGAAATCTTTGTGGCAGACCCCCAGTGGGATGGCAGAACCTAGTGAGGGAAGGAGGGCCTGCATTGGAAAGTTGCCTGGCCCTGTTGTAGTTTAAAGCCCAAAGTGGAAATCATCCAGACACTCACATTAGTTACTGATCCACAGTCTGCATTTATGTGTACTTAGATACTTGGGGCATATCAGCAGCTTGGAACCAGAGTGGCTTTTATTCCAGCTGCCATATGTTTCCTACCCTGATAACTTAGAAAAAAATTCTTATCTGCCCCAAGAGAGAAGATGACTGTCCAGTCCATACTTGCTTGGGCACAAATCTGGCAGCTATGTCTGTTTGCTTGCTCTTGGGACTCAGTGTTTTCAACAGCAGCAGGGTTTGTTTTGTCACTTGGAATAATGATCTTTTTTTTTCCCCCTCCTCTTTCCACTAGCTCGTGTCCCAAAGAAAATTTTGAAATGCAAGGCGGTGTCTCGGGAGCTGAACTTTTCATCAACAGAACAGATGGAGAAATTCCGTCTGGAACAGAAAGTGTATTTCAAGGGACAGTGTCTAGAAGGTACAATTCTGTTCTGTGGGCAGGGGGAGGGTGGAAGAGAAAGAGAATGGGTTGCATGGTTCTCTACAATGATCAAAATGTTCTTGCTGCAACTTAGTAGCTCAGAATGCCTGCCTGTCTTTTCCTGCATCAGCCTCTCCCAGCCTGCTGTTCTCCAGATGGGTGGGACCAAGACCCATCAGCCTCATCCCGCCTGGCCAGTTGTGGATCAGATGTTTTGCATCAGGGGCATGGTTTAGTGTTGGGGGCCCCAGGAACAAGATGTATTAATGGCCCATCCTCCCATGCATGGCCACAGCTGCCATTTTGCCTGTCACAGCAGAGACTGGGGGTAAGGCATGCTCCCATTGCCTGGAGACCTGTGGCTGTGCTCCTCCTGAGCCAGTGACCAGGTGAGCTACAACCCTATTTTGCATGCAGAGAATCCTAGGTTTCATCCCTGGCTTCTGATGGATGCTGGGGACCACTCGGTGCTGAATGCAATCTCTGATATTTTAAATGGCATTGCCATAGGAATTTTACTGGCACCCATGCAAGGGGCTCTTTCAGTACATAATTGTGAACATTGTATGTGAAATTGGAGATGTCACCTCCTCTCTGTGATGATGAACGCAAACTGTTCAGCACTGTCCCCTTGCAAGGCTGGAAGTTGATTACTATAGGCAGCATATTAAGAGAATAGTTATGAGAATGTCCGTCACATCCACATTGGTTAGTAAAATCTCTTGTCTATCAGGGCCAAAAGTGAGCAAATTATCAGAGCTAATAACAATTCAAGAATATTCAAGCAGGACTATAGGTGGTGCTGATATGTGCCTTCAGATCATTTCCGTCTTGTGCTGACCCTAAGGCAAACCTATTGTGGCATTTTCTTTGTTCAGAACAAGATTTGTTCAGAGGTTTGCCATTGCTTTCCCCTGAGCATGTGACTTGCCCAAGGTCACCCAGTGGGTCTAATGCCTGAGCTGGGAATTGAATCCTGGTCTCCAGAGTCATAGTTCACCACTCAAACCACTAAGCCTCTCTGGCTCTCAGCAGGACTATTAAAAGCATTTGTAAGAATTTGTGGACCAGGGGAGCTGATTTAGCACACAGGTTGGAACCGATGACAACCATTTGCTAGCCAGTCCATTGTTTCCATGGGTGTTGATAGGGCAAGTGAGGGTCCAGGTGCTTTCATTTTATCATTTATTTTAGCTCACCTTCTATCCATGGATCTCAGGGCAAATACAATCAGCAAAACCATATTTTCAGCAACCTAAACAATTTGTAACACCTTTTTTTCCCCTTCCTCTTTTTGCAGAATGGTTCTTTGAGTTTGGCTTTGTGATTCCTAACTCCACAAACACTTGGCAGTCCTTGATAGAGGCTGCACCCGAATCACAGATGATGCCTGCTAATGTTCTAACGTGAGTTGCTGTGTGCAAATCCTTGGGGAGCGTAGACCTTGGTCAGAGCTATCCGGAACATGATGGGGGATGGACAGGACAGGACAGGGTGGGTCAGGGGATATAGTTCTGACACTATCACCTTCAAAGCAGTGTCTACTTTCTGCTTCAAGGAATCACAATGATGAGTGGTGTACCCTAAGTCAATTATGTAATTTGCATGTCTCTGCAAAGTTTGTTACAATTCATAAGGGAGGGAGTTGCAGCTTTGCAGGACATTTAAGGACCTCATCTACCTTTTGGAAATCTTCCTCTGATCATTCTCTGAAACCTTTGCTCACCACCAAATTCATGCAGTAGCCAAGTTTGCCCTGGTTTGCTCTCTCTACCATTTTTTCTTTAGCCATGAGGACTAGAAACTTGTTACTTTAAAAATAATGTATTGTTCTGAAATAGTGTTCAAAGCATGTCATGCCCATTTTCTCAGTGGTACTTACCACACCTGTGTGAAGGAGTCTGGCAGTGTGTTGTCACAGGAGAAGAAAAAGCTTGATGAGCCCTAAAGCAGAAACAGGAACAGGTTCTGCTGTTATGAAACAGCCACTATCAAGGATGCTAAGGGAATGCCGAGGTACCGCGTTCAGTAATATGAGCTTCAGTTCTGTGCTCAGGGCCACGAACTGCATTTCAGAATGTACCTAGTGGTGCATTTATTCTGTGCAGCTACGAATGAACTACTGAGGGGCCCCACCAACTTTGGAACAAGTCTTTTGAGTAAAGTATCTCCCCATGTGCACTTCCCAAGCCCCGGATATCCTCAAGAGAGGCCCTTCTTTGAGTCCCACCACCTTCACAGATACTGTAAGCGGGAACATGCAAGAAGACCTTCTCAGTGGATATCCCTGACTGTAGGCTTCTTTCCCCAGAGAGGCTAGAATGCGCCCCTCCATGTCTTTTTGTCAGCAGGCAAAGGCTTTTTTCATACAGACAGACCTTTAGAACAGAAGGAAAGGGCTTGTAAGATAGTGCTGTTTGGTTTTGAATTACACATTTTAAATTCCTTTCATCCTCATTCCGTGTACATTTTTAATTGTTTTTATATATTGATTCTTTTGTTTTCATATATATTTTTAACTACTGTATATTGTAATTTTCTTAATATTTGTAAGCCCTAATCTTAGAGGAAAGGTAGGGTATTAGATGAGGAGGAGGAGGAGTGACTATTCAAGTATAGTAGCATTGCTTCAAACAGCCGCAAGCTCCCAGTGGCTGATGCTCCTGTATTAATGGCACAGCATATCCATTCCTGGCTTTATTCTGAGATTTAAGGGATCTATCCAGTGGGCTGAACCTTGTGCCCCCAAACAGGTTGGATCACTCTGTTAGAGTTTAGACTCAATCCTAGAGTGCATTCAGTGGCCTACTGATGTTATCCACAAAATAGGAATTCTTTAGCCTTGGTGTGAATATGTCAGAACACACCGAAGAGAGGAGGAGAATCTATAGTTTTATTTGTTGCAACAAATAGTTGCCAGTAGTCTAGTGACAGGAAAGACTGGCACAAAGGAAAAAAGCAGACATTGAAGTATATATATATATACCTTTCCATGTGATAGTTGCAAAGCATCCTATCTCAATGTAGTGTTGTTGTTGTTGTGTGCCTTCAAGTCATTTCTGTCTTATGGTGATCCTAATGCAAACCTGTCATGGGGTTTTCTTGGCAAGCTTCTTCAGAGGGAGTTTGCCATTGCTATGCTCTGAGCCTGAGAAAGTGTGAACTGCCCAGGGTGACCCAGTGGGTTTCATGACCGAGCAGGGATTTGAACCCTGGTCTCCAGAGTTATAGTCCAACACTCAAATCACTACACCACACTGGCTCCTTTTTAAAAAGAATTTCTGTCACATCCCTGGAGAGACTGGAGCCTAAATCCAGTGCCTTAGACCACTCAACCATGCTACCTTAACTACAGTGTCACTGAATAGCATTTCTGAAGCATATGTACTATGCAAGTCACATACTTCTGTCCCATATAGTACAGTAACCCTAAAAGAGAAGAGGCTTCCTTTTGGCAGAGAGGTGTGCTTTTGGTCCTGTGACATCAATCGGAGCCACCTGCTGCCACTCTTTCTGAGAGGCCCTTAGGTAGCCGTGGTCTTCAGAGGATGCTTGGCCAATTGTCTGCCAGCAGAAATGACCCTGGACCATCATCTTCCTGCTTCTCGCTTGTCTTATTCTGACCGCCTTCTTTTCCTTTTTCTGCAGTGGGAATGTTATCATAGAAACCAAGTTTTACGACGATGATCTCCTCGTAAGCACTTCCAGAGTAAGACTGTTCTACGTCTGAGAGAAGGCCAAGACGGGGCTTGGGTCTGGCTTAGTTCCCCCCACACACACCTGGTTCCTGGTGCCGAATCCCCACCCCACCCAAAAACCCCAGTCAAGTGGAAGACTCTCTCTTCCTTTAGGTGGCAACAGCTCAGTGCAAGTTGTGAACTTTGCCCATCCACTTTGTCTCTCTTCCTCTTGGCTGGGCCTGGTTGAGCCACAAGATGGGTCACCATCCCCTCAAAAGTCGGGAGGCAGGGGAGGGATGAGAACTCTATTAGAGACCCCAACAGGGCAGCAAATGGGCACGAAGGATCAAGATTTGTAAATTATGTTTAGGTTGTTTTTTTTAAAAGAAAGCAAAACACTTTGTATGTCCGTTAGTACCCCATTTTTGGCAGGTAGCATATATCACCTTAGTTCATCATTGTTTGTTCTTAAGTTAATACCCTTGAACCCCTCCCTGTTTTTATTTTCCTTTCTTTAATTCCATCCGTAACAGGTTCAGATGACATCCCTCGTACCCTTTGCTCCTTAAACTTGTAAAATAGACTGTGATATTATTACATAATGTAATTAAAATAAATTTCTGAATTAAAAAAGCAAACATTCCTACCATTCAAGGCCCAAGTGAGATTTATTATTCTGATTCTGTCTTACAAGAGCAGCCAGGATGAATGAAAAGACCATGAAGACCCTCAGACACAAGGAGAGTGGTTGTGGTCATCCAACCTCTTACCGTCTCTAACACCAGCAATCTTTAAAGAGAGGTTGTAGGAGGCTTAGTTGACTTCTTTGATTGATTTCCTCATGCGGTACAAGCAGGCGGTTTCCTGAAACTCTAGACTTTTTTAAAAAATTACAATTCCAGGGCTCAAGGTAGTGCAAATGTCCATCTCTCCAGCACCCCCACTTCCCAAGACACGGAGTGGAAATTTTTCTGCAGATTTCCAGAGCAGAAAATTTTACAGACACACATGTACACACACAAATGTTTAACCATAATTGTGTGTGCTGTTGTACTGCAATCATACATGTTAGTTACACTCGATATAGGATATGAGCTCATGGAAGTTAGTCTTCTAAGAAGACATTGACAGCAACCTTCTCAGTGAGAGAGAAGGTTCAACTACCATATTTTCCGGCGTATAAGACCACTGGGCAAGAGGACCCCCCAACTTTTCCAGTCAAAATATAGTGTTTGGGATATACTCACCGTATAAGACGACCCCCCTTTCCAACACACACCAAATAAAAATTTTTAAAAATTAGATTTGATTTCAATATGGTAACTTTAGTTCAAATGCTTATGACATGCAGGTACTTAGCAGGAAAACTGTCACTTATAAACACAACAAACTACAGATCCCATGTTCCCTAGCATTTATTTCTGCAGTGTGTTTTGGACCTTATTTTTTAAAAAATAGTCCAGATTTAAATGCTGCTTTAAAAATTATTTCCATCTCCCAGCTATGAGATGTTTGGGGGGAAATGAGGAAGTGTTGGGCAAGAAGGACTGCCAGTATACTATTAGGTGATGCCTTCTGGGCTAAAATTAACATCTCATAACCTCCAGCAT